TGAAAATCGATTATTGAATTTTTCTAAAAAATCAAACAATTTTGTGGATGCTTTTGTGACGAGCACTATTTAGTGCAAAAAAAATTTTTGTGCACCTGTCTCAACTTATTTTATCACAGTATACTTAACCCGGAATTGATTTTATTGATTGATTTCGAGTCAAAGATGCTCTGACCTGAACAATGCTTTCACTCTGTGCATCCAGTGCGCTGGTAGCTTCATCGAGCAAAAGCACCTAAATTCACACTCTTAAGTTCTCTTGCTGGGTCCCACCACGAAAAGTACCTTCGGATCTCGCGCCAACGTCCGAGCAATAGCAATACGCTGCTTTTGACCACCGGAAAGTTGCACACCGCCATCACCAATGTAAGTTTCGTAACCCTAAAAGATCGATAATCGATTGGTTATCTAGATTGCGCTTATACTTGATCACTCACACTTGGCAGTTTCATTACGAAATCGTGCGCATTTGCCATTTTGCACACGTAGATCATCTGCTCCATCGAGAGATGCGGGTTACCCATTTTTAGGTTACCCGCTACAGTATCATTGAAGAGGCAAGGTTCCTGCAACGGAAAAAAATCCTCGGTCGTCCTTTTTGATAGATATGTGGGGTCAAAGCATAGAATGCCAAAGGAAATTGGAGGAGATTTCTGTCTTTTTGGCGAGAACAGGTCCCCGACGGTCGTAGGATGCCTAGAGGATTCGTAGAAAGAAGTTCCTTCCCTGCGAGAACTGGTTCCCGACGGTCAGGAAGCTTGGAATGCCAAAGGGGTGTCACAGAAAACTAGGAATGCCAAAGGGGACTCATAGAAAAAAGTTGCTTTCCGGCGAGAACTGGTCTCCGACGGTCAGGAAGCATGGGATGCCGAGAATAGAATGATTTCTCCCAGCAAGAACTGGTCCCCGGCGGTCAGTTCAAGCATTTCTTACCTGCTGCACTATTCCAACAGTATTTCTTAGCCATTCGATGTTCAACTCTTTGACATCCTGCCCATCCAGGGTAACTCGTCCAGATTCGGCCTCGTAGAGGCGAGTTATCAGCCCAACGGAAGTCGATTTACCACAGCCTGAGTGACCCACTAGTGCTACCGTTTGGCCAGGTTCGATGACAAGGTTTAGGCCATTTAAGACCTGTAAATAGTTATTTTTTGGTCC